CCGATCGGATCAGGTTATTACAAAAACCAAATCTTGTCTAAAAGTCGCAATCTTGTTTACTAAAAAAAAAAAAATATGTCGCAATCTTACTGCTTACAAAAGATGGAAAAGGAAGATTGACACATGTCCATTGTAACATTATTAACGTGGACAGATGCATGTAATTATCTTGATTGGTGATTCAAATGAAAAAGCCAAAAAATCGGACGCGAAAAAAAGCATCTGCTCTTTGGATATCGAATATACCCACCTCTCTCTTCATCGTTGATGGCTTCTGTGTTGACTCTTTTGGTCAACCAGATTAAGAGTAGTGTCACTGATCAGTGATTTCTTATCACTTTATAAAATTTGTTGATTGATTTGCTAGTTTTAACAAGCAAAACAGAAAATTGATTGATTTGCTAGTTGTTTGAATATGTAAAACTTTAAACATTCTAGTTATAAAGATTTTTGTTTTAAAAGAAAATAAAATATTCTATTGATATACATAACAAAAAAAAAATACATAGCTATGACCTTTTTGGATCATACATTTTGGAGAATTAGAATATTTGCGAGTAATCTAAGTTTACACTTTAGCTAGATTTGGAATAGCAATTAAGCTAAAGAGAGAGTGAGAAATAAGTGTAGAACTAATTCACTACAAGTACTCCCTCTATTTTAAAATGTAAAATATTTTAGTTAAAAATACGGATATTAAAAAATTACTATTTTTCTAAAAAGTTCATCTAATATATTTTATAAAAATAATTTAACCAATCACATAAAAAAACTGCAAAATACTAGTGGTTACACAATATTAAATAAAATTAAAAAGTACTTAAAATTGTCAAAATATTTTATATTTTAAAACAAAAAAACTTCTAAACATCTTATATTTTGAAACGGAAAGGTACTAGACGAACTAGCCACTACTAGCAAGACCTCCTCGACCGCTGTTCCCTTGTCTTCCAATTAGAACCAATCGCATTTTTTAATTTTTTTTGAGTAGGTATGATTGGCCTTCTTCCTCTTCGGCTCTTTTGGGAAGATAGAAAGTTCTATCTAACTTTAAAGATAAATATTATTGTAGGAGGAAACAAAAGCAACTAATTGCTCTAGAAGATAATAGCTATAATTTTAAATTGGGGTGGACAAATAGAAATATGAGACGAGATTTTACGAAAACGAGACGGTAACGGAATTTTTGGGACTAGAAAAATATGTCCCATTTGTATTCTATTTAAAATTCAGGACGGACACAGGATAGAACGGGATGAGACGGGAACGGTACGGGAAATCTCATAACATAACCGATTTCAAAAAACAAAAAAAATTAAATTAAATGATATTGCAAATTGCAAACATGTATTTAACCTACTTCATTCATCAAAAATATTTTCGAAATTAAGAAAAAAGAAACACTCAATTGTAATTCATAAATGTTTAAAATAAAAAAATTATAATCGAATCAAGATGAATCAAATATAAAGTAAATTGC